CCTGGCACTGTTATACCACCAGTGACTGTGTTACCCTCAAGCCCCTGCTCCCCCATTTTAAACGGACTCAACTTCAACTAGTTATCTCTTTGCCCGGGCAAGTCAAGGACGTGGTAACTGTGAACCCTGAGAAAGACACCTACTAAGAAGGGCCCCTGGTGGTAACGAGGGTCCAATTAAAACAGAGCTAAACAGAGCCCAGCAGTGCTTCCTACAAAAGGCCTCTCACGCCAACTGCTCTTCAGGGAGAGGCCTGCACCATTTCCGCCACCTGAGTCAGCACCGATAAAGGAGTTCCCGGAATCTTATTTCAACCAACAGGACTGAGGCCTTCCCCATCCAGAGCTCCAGAGCTCCATAGCTCTGGCCAATCAGAGTGGCTCTATTTTGACTAATCAGGACAGTGCCTCTGGACCAATCAGAGAATCTGGAGTCCTCATTTGCATGAGGATGTAAAAACTAGGAACCATCTGGGACCAGGGGCGGGGATTTCTGCCCACATAAGCCAGCTCCCCTCTGGCTAGGAGACCCGGAGGATGGGGCTGCATTTCTCCTGTGTGTCACAGCTGTGCTCTAGCACCACCACTGAAAAACTAGGAACCATCCGGGACCAGGGACGGGGATTTCTGTCCACATAAGCCAGCTCCCCTATGGCTAGGAGACCCCCGAGGATAGGGCTGCATTTCCCTAGGGTGTGTCACAGCTGTGCTCTAGCACCACCACTGAGACTGTCTGGACGGAACGAAGTCTCCTTCTTCACTGCACCCCAAACTGGAGGTTCCTGTACCGTAGACGGGGCAACCCCAAGTGCAGCCGGCCAGGGAGGAACCACAGGAGGTCGGATCCACGGTGTGTCCGGCCAGTCTCGCCCATGCCCGCCCCGCTGGCCACCTTCTAATTAATTTACACCCTGAGGACTCCACCTGCACCAGGACGCTACACAGCAGGCCCAAGAGTCTGAGGCAGGCCTCCAGTCCCAGCAGGGGTTTCCTGGCCCCTCCCCGACTCCCCTTTCTCCTGTTGACCTAGTCCTTCCATCCTGCCAGCTTCACAATTCCAGGCCTGACACTCCTAGGAGTTCCATGACCGTGAGCCCCAGACCCGGGCAACACAGCCGAGGGGTGCAGACACTTAGCAGAACTCCATCTCAGGCCAAGCATCACGCAACACACACAACTCCTGACATTGCCCTCAGAACCTAAACTTTTGCCTCAAATTTGTAGTGACTGAAGGATGCTGGAGATCTTTTAATAATGTTGTGATTTTCCTTTCTAAATCCCCCTGCCCATGTCCAAATTTCTGGCACAGCACTCCAAGGAGCAAAAACCTTAAACTAATCAAATGGAAATCCATGAAAGACATTGTCAAGAGAATGAGAAAGACAAGCTACAGACCGGGAAAAATGTATTTTCAAGCACAGTTATTTAAAATATACAAAGAGTATTGTCCAGGTGGCGTCCCCAGTCGGCTGTCTTTCTTCAGGGACAATTGGGAAGAAAGGGTGGTTAATGAAGTTCCTCTGATGAAGTCGAAGAAACCTGAAGGCTCGCACCAGGGAACAAACTCACTCCTTAAACTTAATGCTACCATAAAACAGACCCACAGCCTTCTCAGCTACTGCCAAGCCCAGATGAGACCCCCTCATGAAAACCCTTTAACCGCCCCTCGCCCCAAAACCTGATCTTCTAAAAGTGGATACAGTTACAGACATGGGGCTGGACTCGGAGTAATTAGGGCCGGGCCCGACTGGAAGAAAAGTCACCGTAACCTCCTGTCTGCTAAGATCTTCCCTTTATTTTTAAGCAGGAGCGTTGAGCGGGCACTCACAGCCCCTACTTTTCTCTTCCTTTGGGATCCAGGGACACCAGGGGAAGAGGCCCCGAGCCAGGACTGGCGCCGAGTCCTCACCTTGTCGATCCTCTCCAGGCAGCCCTTGCAGGTGCTCCTGTTGGACTTGGCGTACTCTGCCGCAAAGTCGCCCAGCGTCTTCTCCGGCTTGCCGCCCGCTCCACCTTGGCCTTTGCCTGAAGAATCAAACAGCGCCGCTCAACTCACAGCCGCGTCCCCCGTCCCCGCGTCCCCGCCTCCCCCCTGGGTTCTTCCACGAGGACACGTGAGGACACGTGACATTCTGGGTGACTGTAGCCGTTTCCTCTACGCCATTTCTAACCACTGTGGCTGGTGAACACAGCTTCTTTTCTGGCAATAAAATAAAATCTTTCTCAGACAGGCTCTTGGAAACAGCTCCATGTTAGCTGGTGGCTGTCTCACCTTCCACCTCTCTCCACTTCCTCTGGCACCCCTCCCTCACTGTGGGAGGTGCAGCAAGTGCTGCCAAAAACAAGTAGACCAGCCGTGGGCAAAATCTGGCCCACGGGCTGGATCCGCCCATTCAGCTGTTCTATCCGGCCCGCGAAGCTGAAAGAGCGGAGGGTTCTCTTGCTCTCCCCTCCGCTCCTTCACCAGCAGCAGTGTGAACATGTTATTAGTTCACACAAACACTCCATCCATGCTTTTGTTCCGGAATATCTGAACAGCCTTCTCACTACAAATTAAAACAAGACACTACCTCACACCTATTAGAAAGGTCAAAATATAAAACATTGTGGCCCTCGAGTCAAAAAGTTTGCCCACCCCTGCCGTAGACCCAGCTCATCCTCTTTGTCTGTCATCTCTTCGTCCTTCACCGCCCTCACTCAGGCTTGCGGAACCCTTGGTTGAGCTGGCTCAGCACACTTTTCAGCCAGTGGTGCTGGGAAAATGGACATCCACATGCAAACCACTGAGTCAGACACACTTCATACCCACGGCAGAAATTAACTCAAAATGGACCACAGACCTAAATGTCATGTGTAACACAAAACCGTAACACTCATGACAACAGAGGAGAAACTCTAGCTGAGCTTGGGTATGATGATGACTTTTTAGATACAGTACCAGACACAATCCATGAAAGACATTGTCAAGAGAATGAGAAAGACAAGCTACAGACCGGGAAAAATGTATTTTCAAGCACAGTTATTTAAAATATACAAAGAGTTCTTGCCGAAACCAATTTGGCTCAGTGGATAGAGCGTCGGCCTACGGACTGAAGGGTCCTAAATTCTAAAAATGCTACGGCCACCGGAGAGATTGGCAGCTTCTCACAAACTAAACACTCAACCTACCAATCACGTTCCTCAATATTTACCCAAACGAGCTGAAAAACTTAGGTCCACATAAAACCTTCTTATGAGGGTGCAAATAAACTCATAAAAATTCAAAAACCCTACATGTTTATAGTTATTAATAACTGCCCAAACTGGGAAGCAACCAAGATGTCCTTCAGTATCATGTGTAACACAAAACCGTAACACTCATGACAACAGAGGAGAAACTCTAGCTGAGCTTGGGTATGATGATGACTTTTTAGATACAGTACCAGACACAATCCATGAAAGACACTGTCAAGAGAATGAGAAAGACAAGCTACAGACCGGGAAAAGTGTATTTTCAAGCACAGTTATTTAAAATATACAAAGAGCTCTTAAAACTCAAAACAAACAAAAAATGGGGAAAATATCTGAACAGCCTTCTCACTACAAATTAAAATGAGACACTACCTCACACCTATTAGAAAGGTCAAAATATAAAACGCTGGCGGAGATGTGGAGCCACAGAAATTGTCACTTGTTGCTGATGTAAATTCTAAAAATGCTACGGCCACCGGAGAGATTGGCAGCTTCTCACAAACTAAACACTCAACCTACCAATCACGTTCCTCAATATTTACCCAAACGAGCTGAAAAACTTAGGTCCACATAAAACCTTCTTATGAGGGTGCAAATAAACTCATAAAAATTCAAAAACCCTACATGTTTATAGTTATTAATAACTGCCCAAACTGGGAAGCAACCAAGATGTCCTTCAGTATAAATAGTTACCAGTATGGATAAATTATTACATCTAAACAATAGAATATTATTCAGCATTAAAAAGAAATGAGCTAAAAAAAAGAAAAATGAGTTATCAAACCATGAAGAGACCGGCCAGAGTGGCTCAGTTGGTTGAGCGCTGTCCTGTGCACCGAAAGGTTGTCGGTTTGGTTCCGAGTCGGGGCACATCCCTGGGTTGTGGCCTGGTTGAGGCACATACGGAAGGCAACCTGTCTGTTTCTCTCTCACAGCCATGTCTCTCTCTCTCCCTCTCTCTAAGCATGTACTCGGGTGAGGATTAACCACCACCACCCGGAAAAGGCAGGCAGGAACCTTAAATGCATACTGATGTGAAGTCAGCCAATCTGGGAAGCTCCCTGTGATTCCAACTGTAGGACAACCTGAGCAAAGAGAACCTCGGAGACAGTGTGATCAGTGTGGGCCAGAGGGTAGGGGAGAGGAAAGATGAGCAGAGGAAGCGCAGAGGACTTCAGGGCAGTGAGAAATATTCTAAGGATAAATACAGGCCATTGTACACTGTCTACAGACTGTACACCGTGAGCGAATGCGACCGTGACTATGGACCTGGGTGACGGCGACGCTGCGCCAACGCCGGTTCATCCGTCGGAACTAAAGGACTCCTCAGTGGAGGGCGCTGACGATGGGGAGGCCAGGCTTCTGTGGGTCAGGAGGCATACGGGGACCCTCTACATTTTCTGTTTCCTTTTGCTATGAACCTAAAACTGCTCTAAAAAGTGAAGTCTATTAAAACAACAACTTCTAAAGACCACAGTTCAAGCATCCGGAAAAAGAAACTGTCCTGCAGCAGGACACAGCCGGTCACTGAGGTGCAGCTGAGCAGCAGGCCGCTGTTCTCCGCGGGCACAGTGAGAAAGGAGGCGGAGCTCCTCTGGGAAAGGCCCCCGGAAGCTCTGGGCTGGGAGTCACGGGCGCGGCCTCCCCGGTGTGTGCGGACCTGCCACTCCTCCGGCCTCTGCAGTCTTCTTCACTTTCTGCTGGTCGTCCCACCGGAGCTCCGAGAAGCCATCCACCTCGACATCGGGCTGCCAGATGGAGTGGCCGACCTTCCAGAAGCAGGAGAAGTGGTACCAGTGCGGGACTTTGCCATCGAACATGGGTGACTGGAAGGAGGAGAATCAGAGGGGGTAAAAGGACAGTTAGCTGGCCTCCGAGACAGCCTCGAGCCCAACCCTCAGCACGAAACCTATCACGCCCGTGTCTCCTTATCTGTGAACCTGGGCAGCCTTGCCCGGGCCCCCACACGGCCTGGGGAGGGTGCCAATGCATGAGAAACAGCAGCAGCACATTCCGCACGTCTCCTCAGGCTCCTCCCCAACAGCTGAGAGCTGCTGCCAGCCGAGCCTCAGACGCAGGACCCTGTGGGAATGGTAGCATTCTGAACAGGACCGTGCCCGTGTACCCGTGTAGCCCCATGCCACTGCGTCCCAGTGACATGCACACAAGACGCCTGTCCATGTCCTGGCTCTGCAGGGTCTGCCCAGGAGGCAGGCGGGACGCAGAGGGCCTGTGCAGCCCCAAAGGCCCGGAAGAGTGGATGCAGTTAGAATGACAAGGACCTGGGCCAGTGATGGGAACCTTTTGAGCTCGGCGTGTCAGCATTTTGGAAAACCCTAACTTAACTCTGGTGCCATGTCACATAGAGAAATTTGTTGATATTTGCAACCATAGTAAAACAAAGATTTGTATTTTTGATATTTATTTTATATATTTAAATGCCATTTAACAAAGAAAAATCAACCAAAAAAAATGAGTTCGAGTGTGACCTCTGACACACGTGTCATAGGTTCGCCATCACTGAGCTAGGCCCAGGCAACGAGCAAGACAGAGAGAATGTGTCAGAAAAGGGGCCGCCCCAGCGATGGGAATGGAATGAATTAACTTCCATGGGGGAGGGGGGTGGGAGGGAGAGAATGGATCAGGGGAGCAGGCCAGCCAGGGCCGACAACAGAACTCCTGGGCTTGTCACCACCTTCGGGAAGAACCATTTCCTGCCACAGGAACTGGGAAGTCGGGCCCCGCGGGAAAGGGGGTCACCTCTCCTAGAGGGTTTCCTTCCTTGAAGCCTCACACTTGGGTTGGTACCGTCAGTGTCACAGTGCCAGGTGCTCCCAGGCTTCAGAGATTGCGGTGACAGTGCCCAGCAGAGTGCACAAACACTGGCATTTATCTGGCCCCTGGCACACTCAACTGCGTCTGGGTGGAAACCAGCACCCCACTGATCCCAGGGGAGGTGGTGCCCACAAAGGCAGGTCTGACACCTCGGTTCTTTCCCCTATGATGCTGGGTGGGAAGATCTACTTAAAAATACACAACGGCCTAAAGCAAGGGAGCCCTCAAGCATCTGCTGCTGCAGACTAACAGAAAGCCAGATGTCATGCAGATGAAATAAAACATTAAGAGCTTTAAAAGTAAATACCACAGAGAACTTTTAGGATGGAGTGTGGGGACAGCGGAAACACTGTGAAGAGCAGTGGCAAGGTCTCCCAATTAGCCCTCGCCTCCTACGTGAGTGGCCTCTTTCCAGATTTAATAGATTAAAATGGAAGGTTAGGGCTGGGCAGTGAATGGCCGCTTTCCAGACTTAATAGATTAAAATGGAAGGTGGAGGCGGGCACATCAAGGACTTCTCAGCATCACGCAGTCTGGTTTACAGCAACGTCAGCTGACTCCTCGACACAGAAGTCACCCCGTCCGATGCAGGGAAACGGCACTTTGTGGGATTCCCGTAAGGCCCCTCCCACAGCTGAGGAGGATCCACTCGGCTCCAGCCAGTGTCTGGGTGGTTAGAGTATCGGCCCGCACACTGGAGGGTCGCAGGTTCGATCCCCAGCCCCAGCTGGTGTGTGTGGGAGGCAATCAACTGATGTGTCTCTCACACTGATGTTTCTCTCTCCCTCCCTCCCTTCCATTCGCTCTAAAAAAAATCGATGGGAAAAATATCCTCGGGTGAGGACTGCTTAACAAAAACCAATGACCCCTGAGGGTGAGGACTTGATCATCGCCCGTCCTGCCCACACTGGGCTGGGAGCGCCGAGGCACCATGCCCGCTTGCTGGCATCTGGCAAAGGCTCGCAGTGGGCCCTCATGGTGTTTGTGGGACGCCCTGAGTCTGGAGGGAAGGAGAGAGGTCCCTGCTGTGGAGGAGAGTCCCCCACACCAGATAACAAATGGCACCCCAGAGTAGACTGGCTCTCAAACTTTCACCAAGACAGGCAGGTCCTCGGGCATCCGGCCACATCGTACGCCCCCGTGGCCTCACCTGCAGTGGCCTCCGCCGGCCGCTCCAGCCGTGGCACCTTGCCTACCCCTCCTGTGCGATGTCCACGCAGGGGAGGACCGTGCGCGGTGGCTTTGCCCCACGCTGGAATGCGTGCCTGCATCCCATCTTCTAGGCTCGGCCAGGGCCTCGTCCTGCCCTTTAACCTTGGTCTGGGTGCTGTGGCCCCTGCGGGGGTGACTGGGCCCCATCTCCCTCAAGAGGAAGAATCTTTGACCAAAGGAAAATCTCACCCAGACCTTAGGACTGAAAATGACCGAACAGGAAGTGAGCTGAACCAAGGTCACGGACTGTGGCTCGGACTGTGGCTATCACTCGGCAGCCGCATGGCTCTCACCAGTGGCAGAATCTTTGTGTACGGAGCACGGATCCCAGACCAGGGTCCTCGCCCGCCCACTCGAGAGCAATGGGTGGAGCGGGCCCTAACCCTCCAGGACAGATAAAAGGCTCACCACAGCCTCCTCCCAGCCCAGCCCCACCGGCATGCCAGCTGAAGTATCAGGTATTTGATACTCCCAGAACGTCCTCCCATACAAATGCAAAAGAGGGCTTTTTTAAGTACAAGAGCCAGAAGAATGGCTTCTTTCTTCCTGCCCCCACCCTCGTCCACCAGTCAACCCAGAGGACCAACTTGACATTTGGAATTAAAACTCCACTCCCTCATTACAATTAGGGACGACCACACTTACTTTTAATAGCAAAGGCTCCTTCACAATCAAGTTCACCCATGGAGCCATCCTCCAGGCAGAGCTGCCCTGCCTCACAGGGCTTGCCCAGCACACCGGCTCACCAAGGTCTCCGGTCTGCACTCAACCAGGCGGGATCCTCTCTCCCTGCCTGGTGAAGCCCAGTGTCCCTTCTAAGAATAACATTTAAAAATGCAGCCCTGGCTGGTTTGGCTCAGTGGATAGAGCGTCGGCCTGTGGACGGAAGGGTCCCGGGTTCGATTCCAATCAAGGGCACATGCCTGGGTTGTGGGCTTGACCCCTAGTGTGGGGCGTGCAGGAGGCAGATGATCAATGATTCTCTCATCATTGATGTTTCTATTCCCCCCGCCCATGAAATCAATAAAAATATATTTAAATAAAATAAAATAAAAATGCAGCACAGAAGACAGATTCACACATGGGACCCAATGCATTGAAATAGTTACCAAGACATTGGAAAAGCTTACTGGACCGTGGTAACCACTGAGCCCCCACGGGAATAACTACTGTTATCTTGAGGCAGCGAGGGGGGTAAATTCTCAGAGAAATCCCCACAGATGTAAAGTGATGTGAAAAGATCTGTAATCACCAACTGTGACAACAGCCACAGGCGCTGCTAGCAGGCCTTCCTGGCTGTGCTCCTATGGGGAGGAAGTGACGACTCCATCTAGAGCAGTGGTTCTCAACCTTGGCTGCACATTAGAATCACCTGGGAATCTTCCTAAAATCCTGATTTCTGGGCCTCATCCTCCAGAAATTCTGTTTCTTTGTGATGGGGTGAGGCCACAACATGAGTAACTAAGAAACAGAATTTCTGGAGGACGAGGCCTAGAAATCAGGATTTTAAAAAGATTCCCAGGTGATTCTAATGTGCTGCCAAGGTTGAGAGCCACGGACCTAGAGGCTGTGAGGATGCAGATGCAAATCTGTTCTCCTCTAAACTCACAGACCTTCCGCCCAGGCAGGAGCCCCAGCGTGGAGGAGACCTTGGGATCAGCGCCTGTGCATTCAGGTAAAGGCCAGCTGCTCAGTGGGGATGCGGCTCCCCCCTCAGCCGCCAGCCACTCTGGGAACAGGACCCCGACCAGCCCGCTGGGTACACGTGCCGGGCACAGCGCCACCAAGGGCACCCACCCCCGACACTGTGCGCCATCACCTTCCTTTTATCCACACTGGCTCTTCGCAGTGCGTAGAACAGCGGTTCTCAACCTGAGGTCGCGACCCCTTTGGCAGTCAAACGACCCTTTCACAGGGGTCGCCTAAGACCACTGGAAAACACATATGTAACTACATATTGTTTTTGTGATTAATCGCTATGCTTTCATTATGTTCAATTTGTAACCATGAAATTGGGGGTCACCACAACATGAGGAACTGTATTAAAGGGTCGCGGCATTAGGAAGGCTGAGAACCACTGGCCTAGAACCTACCAGGTGCTCAGCCAGTTTAAGTGATTAGGTGCAGTGTCAGGTGCGGAGCTGGGGAAGCCCCGAGGACACCCCAGTCATGAGATGAGATAACCTAACTCCTCACACCCACTCCCCCCACCCCCACAGCACTAAAGACCCAGCGAGGACCCTGTGGCCACTCCTCACACACCAGGACTCACACAGGGAAGGAACCCAGGTTCCCTGGACCCTGAGACCCCATGCAGGGAGGGAACCCAGGTTCCCTGGATCCTGGACCCTGGGACCCGGTGCAGGGAGGGAAGCCGGGTTCCCTGGACCCCGGGCCCGGCGCAGGGAGGGAAGCCGGGTTCCCTGGACCCTGAGCCCCGCGCAGAGCCTCCAGGCAGCTTTATGTTGAGGTGGGGAGACAGGGCGGGCGAGAACCACGACCACCTGCGCAAAACGGAAGCGGGAGGAGGCAGGAACCCCTGGGGGGCCTGCAGACACCACCTCGGAGCCCTCCCACCCCATGGGCGTCCTCGAAGCCCCAGGGAACCCGGGAAGGGGGATCCCCAATCTGCCAAGAAGTCCCCAGGAGGAACCCTGAGGCCGCCCTTACTCAAAGCGGACAGCTGCACACGCATCGAGAGAACCCCACTAGGAGCCTGGGAAGTTTGGGGGAATGTTCTTTTACATAAAAAGATCAGGCCAGAGTGAACGGGCTGTGC